TGGGCGTGATTATGGGTGATGAGAGCTCGCTCCTGCTTCAGTCCCAGTCATCATGACTACACCCACCTCCCGCAGACCATGTTCCATGGTAAGCGCTGCTCTCCCGTGCGCACTTAGGTGCGCCTAGCGCGCCGGGGACTCCGGGACACACTGGGACGCGCCACCCGCCCCCGCGCCTCCGCACGTCCGGGAATAGCCCGGCCTTGTACTTTGGACCGGCTGGGAGCACAGCCTCTCCCATGGTCAGCCACTAACCTCGCTCAGCTCGGTGGCCCAGAGCCATTGGCACCTGGGCGTACAGCCCCGGGCAGGAGGGGAGGAACAGTTCCCGACACCGGCTTTCCATCCCCAGACCCAGACCCAGAGTCCCAGTGCAGGAGTCGCGCCTTGGTGGCCGCCTGCATCCAGGTCTCAGAAGTCAGAGGCTATTAGCCACACTCTGTCCCTAGCCTGTAACTTGCCCAAGCAGCCCTTCCCCGCTTCCAGGCTGCGCAGAGTTACTCACAGGCTGCCTGAGTTCAGGGAGCTGGGTTCGCGAAGCTCACAACTTCATAGAGAATGAAAGAGTCGCTCGGAGATGCGCTTTTAAACCCTAAAGGACAGGTCATTGGAAAATCCCCTCTTCTCCCCTCAGTAATTCTGGGAGTTTCCGACCCAGGCTGTATGTTAGGTTGTTTTCTGGGAACCTAAGTCCTGGAGCTGGAATTGCAAAAAGCCAGATTTTTCCCCTTTTTACAAAGGGAGATAGGACTATAAGTACCCACGAGTACAAATTCTTCACCCCCTGGTCAAATCTTATAGGTTTACATTTGCTTTAAATAAATGAGAACTTAAAGTGGACAAGAACAGAATTGACAGTGGCTGGAATCCACTTGTGGATAGAACTAAAATAAATAAATAAATAAACAAATGCTGTATGAGCATAGATGAGAACCAAATGGAATGTGAGGAGCGAGAGGAAATGTTTTCCAGTAAATACTTCTAAGAGCAAGAGAAACTGTGGGAGTGCAGGAGCAGGGAGCCTGCCCAATGCTTGTCCTTCCCAAGCTCTGTGTTGTTGCTTTCCTGGACATTCTTTTAGGTCCAATTACTTTTCATTGGACCTAAAAGTGAGTGGCTTCCTTCATTTTTGTTCCAAAATACTTCACTAGAAGCTTAAGCTCCATCAAGGTTGTGCACTGTGCTAGTCTTTGTTTCTAACCTGTTATTTGGGGCAGTAAGCAAATGAAGATTCGCTATCTGATCTTCAATTGCGCTGCCTTATTTAGGAATTTTATTATACATGCATGCATGCTAATAAAGTGAGATCATGAGAAACACAGAATTGAGAACGAATAGGAAACCTGAAGAGCTCTAAAGGAGAATTAGAAATTTCACATCAGTGTGTATACCTCTTAAACAAAACTGGAAAGTTCTTTCATAAAACCAATTTGCATGGCCCATGGGTATGAACTGTTTTATATTGATTGTTGACAAATAATGTTATAATATGTCCAAATATTTACTCTTTTCCCTTGAAATGGGACAATCTGCTATAGTTTCAGAGCTTGGTCAGGAAATACCTTGGTGAAGTTCATGCAAAAGACAAGGATTTTGTTTTACTTTATTTGACTGTCTGTACATGCAATTACCATTATAAACAGTGTAGTTGAGTAGTTAGAAGCTTAATCCCTAGACAAGCCAACCTGAGTATGTCAGATATGAGTCCTGGCTTCTCCTAGAAACACTATTTTGGAGAATTGTTCTTTGGGCTTCAGATTCTCCAATGTAAAATGTGGATGGCCTGCATGCATGAGCATCATGAAGTGTCTGAAGAATTGAATTCTCTGTTGAAATAGACATATAGAAGGACATTCAATGACCACTTCTTAAAGTGGATGGGAAAAGCCCCCAAGGCCTCAGCCTTAAACAAAGGATTGTAGTCAAGCAAGAAATGCTGAGTGTGGGAGAGATAGTCTTCCCCAGGGTAGAGCATATCAATTGGTTATCCAAATGGTCAGCCTGGAAAGCATACATATAAGTAAGGTTACAAAGACTGAGCAGGTTTTGTTTGTGTATTTAGAAATATATATGTACACAGAAACACACATACCAACAATTAATGAGATAAAAGGCTACATATGTGAAGAAGAGTAAGAAAGGGTATATAGGAGATTTGGGGGAATGAAATGGATGAAAGAAATACAATTATTTTATAATCTCAAAAATAAAAGAAACAATTAAAGAAACTGATAAATGACTGGATATGATGGACTGAAGTAGCCAATTTATTTATGTTCACTTTGACCTCATAACTTAAGCAGCTGAAAATTGAATGTATTGTTTGGCTAACATTAAAAACCAACAAGAATTTTTCGACAGCTATCATTCTGGTTTAACCAAATTCCCTACTGAAAACAAATTCTCCAGTTTCAAACCCTCCGGGAGATTTAAAGACAATCCTACAAGCCAACACATGTCTTGTATTGTTCCTACAGTTTGTCTTATCTATGACTTAATGAAAGTTCAAGGGAGGACTCAGAAGTGTGCTGTGATACAAAAAGAAGCAAAATTTGGCAAATATTGAATTCCTTTCCCATGAGACAACAGCATTAGAAACACCCACAAATAGGAAAAACAAATCTTAATTTGCTACCATGCATTATGTGGAAGAAACAATTGCAGTTACAGAAGAACACACTGTTGATGGCTGAGCCAGGAACCTATGAGATAGGCATCTTGGGACCTGGTGTGTTTATGGAATTATGCCTGAGGTAACTTAAATATGATTGGTTTCTCTATTTGAATGAAGAAATAGAATATTAAAAGTTAAAGTGTTTGAGAGATGAAAGAGAAGTGAGATACATTAAGAAGTCAATGAAAGTTTTCATTTTAGAGATCAGATACAAGAAGTTTAAATGACATTCAGCTATTTAGTCAGTCACATAGCCTATAGTCAGATGAAGACAAAATCCCCAATTCTCCATGTCCTAAACTCTCCTTATATTGTACTACCCTGGTCTTTCAGTAGCTACCTTGCTTAATTATAAGGTCTACAGATGAAAACCTGTATTTTAAGAATAGTTTTAGAATTGAAATTTTCTCATAGACACATATGCAAAGAATATTCCACTAAACCAACACTCTAAAGCACTGACAAAAATGTTCTCCAGAGAATTGTAAGTTCATATGAATCTGGGAAGCATATATTATTGAAAACTGACATGAAGAAGAAAACTGGTAATCTTATGAAGTAAAACAACTTATTAAACAGAGAATGGGTCTTTGAAATAACATTTATATATAGATGCAAATTAATATCTTCCTAATGACTTTATCACATCTGCTTTGAGTTCAAGTCACATCCCCCATCTGTTTGCTCTGTCTACTCTTCCCAAAGCTTAAGTTTTAGAGATCGGTAAGGCTAAAGATGGAATAAAAAGAACGTTGCTATAAAAATTTATATAGTTCTGATTAAAATGTGTTAATAATTGATAACTGTGTGTCCCATGTGAAAGAATGGTAATAGGAGAGGACTAGTTGAATGGTATTGTAAGAAAATGACTGTGGGTATTTTAAAATCAAATCCCACTGAAATAGAAGATTCATGATAACATCTAATTCTTAGTAACTGTTGTTAGTCTGCTATAAAAGTAGGTTGACTTGAAGGTCTACCTTTCTTTACATATACAATAAAATATGTAGCATATAGTTATATCCATTCATATATAAATAGGTTATCATCAGTGATAGATATATAAGACAGTAGATGATAGAAATATGGATGGATAGATAGATAGATAGATAGATAGATAGATAGATAGATAGATAGATAGATTTCCTAATCGTCCCTGGGTCACTAGTTCAATTAAAAGCAGCTAGGATCTTAATATGAAATAAATTATTTAGTGAAGAATTTTGAACAGATTTCATGCCCACTCTTGGATTATTTTCTGAGCATAACAAGTATTAGTTTTATATGAAGATGGGAAGTTATGAATTATGGTGTTAGTGGAAGTTTCAGTACCCCCAGCAGCTCCCAAATAAATGCACTGAAGCTTAACATCAATTATAAATGCTTGGCTGACAGCTCAGGCTTGTTATCAACTAGCTCTTACAACTTAACCCATTTCTATTAATCTGTGTGATTTCAGAGGCTTGTGGCTTTTATCTCTATCCCATTTTGTATGTCTGACTCATTCTGCATCTGGATGGTGAACCTCTGACTCCATCCTTCCTCTTCCCATGATTCTCAGTTTGGTTCTTCCAGCAAACTTGATTCTTTTCAGCTACTGGATAGTCAGCTTCTTTAGTAAACCAATCACAGTGATAAATTTTCACATTATGGGATATTGAAATTAAGATATGATTACATCATTTCCCTTCTTCCCTTTCCACCAACCTATCCTATTTGCCCCCATGACTCTCCTTCAAATCCATGGCCTTCTTTTCTTCATTATTTAGTACACATAACACACATAGGTAGTGGGGGAGAGAGATGGGGGACAGATATAGTCATAAATATATAAATACAACATGCTTGTTCTATAATGTCACTTGCATATATAAGCATTCATGATTAATGATTTGGTAATGAATAATCAATGGGGTGGAGTTGCTCTTCACAGCGCTTAGCATGCCTTAGTTGCCTGTAGTTCTGCGTCTGTGATTGAAGCTCTATGAGATTACATAATTTCTACCATGCCTCTTTCTTTATTTGCAAAACATGGGTCACTTGGTTATAATTTATGGTGAATACTTATGCCTTTTTAATGTCATTGGATAATAGTATAATAGATGACATCTTTATGATATGCTTCACAGTCTTTAGGCTGTTGCCAGTGTCAGTTCTTTGGGTTTATAAAAATGTTGTTTAGACTCTAAATAGAGAAGATGCAAATAAAATGCTGAGCACTGAATGTTATAAAGTTGATTTGGGAAATGCATGGTGTCAAGAATATCGTTAACTCATCCGAGTTCATGAAAAAAATGATAGGTTGGTTTTAGTGTGTCTAGGTACCACTTGGTTTTCATCTTAATTATTTGCCCCAGGTGATTTCTTTTAAAATTTCATTCCATTTGATTGCATCTGATTGGCAAGACTCACCAAAAGTATTCATAAACCATCAGATGAGAGGGCATGAGCCTATTCTTTGAGCTTTTCCTAACTCAAAAGAGAGCTATTCTTGAACAGAATCTACGTCTTTAGGAAAATAGATACACAAAATAATAATACCAAGAATTTAACATTGTCAGAGTTTAGGAAAATGATAAAACTCTCTAAGATGCATCATTACAAACAGAGAACCACAGTTGTGCAACATCAAAGGGGTCCCCCTCCACGTAACTTTCCTCCAGAAAAAAAAAAAAAGACTAAGGTTCATCACTACAGAAAACCACTGTAGTGTAAAATCAGAGAGGTCTCCCTCCACATAACTTCCTCCAGAAAAAAGACTAAGGTTGACCATTACAAAGAACCACTGCAGTGTCATATTAAAGTGATCCCCTTCCACATAACTTCCTCCTGAAAGAAAGAGTAAGGTTCATCATTACAAAAAACCACTGTAGTGTAACATCAAAGAGGTCCCCCTCCACATAACTTCCTCCAGAAAAAAGATTGGCTTTGCCTTCATGAGGACTATGGTTTCTATGTAAATAAACATTAACATGACATCTTTCACTTATTTTGAATAATTTATGACTTTAAGAAATGGTGGCATACCTCTTTTCTTACAAATATATTTTCTTTCAGGGATGTTTGCTATAAATCCAACTCACAAAGCTGTCACCCCCTCCCTTGCTGGATATCTTTCAGAAGTCTGTGATTTCATTCTACCTTTTCTGCATAAAATGTGGATACAACCTATAAACCAACAACAAACCCTAATCCTAAACTAAACTGCTGCCCTTCCTTGTCACACAGTTTCATTTTTATAGATCTTTCTATGGTATGCTGGAATTGAGATGTATTTTTATGATTATTAGACATAGGTGTTCATTCCCACTGTTAAACACAACATCGTATAAACATGCTGTGGCAACTACCTTGGGCTCATTAACTGTTGGGTTCAGTTTCTTTTAGATATATCTTTGGAATTCCTCCCCTGATCCTTGTTTTGTTGCCTGTCACATCATCTGACTGCCACATTAAAGATAAAGAAGGTAAAGCATATGAGAGTGTGCTGATGATCAGCATCGATGAATTGGTACGTGCTTGTTTTCCTTACATTCTCACTTACCGGCAAATGTGAATATACTTTTGGTACTCAGTCCTATAATCAGATAGCCACTGTAATTCTTGACAAGAAAGGAGGTAAGTATGAAGTAAAATACATGACCTAGGAACCATGCAGTTTCATAGCTGGTATTACTCTGCCCCTTAGGGATTAACCTTTCCTGCAAACAAAGTCTAACACTATCCATTTAGGTCATGTTCTACCATGCCATTTTCTACCAAATAAACGGAACTCATCACTTCCTGAATTTGCTTGCCTCCTGTTTAACCTGTTCACTGTCAAAGATGCCTTACATTAGGAGACAGAATATAACATCTGCAAATTGTGGTGGAAAATAATATATTTTATCTTAAAGTGTACAGTTGCATACATATTCATGTATATATTTTTTTACTGTGTATAGCATATAATTTTCTCTAAGCTAATGTTCACATGCTGTGAATAAATTACTTGCATAAGTAACAGATTTTATATCTTGTAGATTTTGGTTATGGAACATTTTGAGCAACAGTGGAAAACTTTCATGTACTCCCCCACCCCCACCCTTGGAGTTTCCTCTATTATTATATAATGAGTTTGTTACAAAAGATGAACCAATGCTAATACACTGTTCTTAGGTTTCATTCTACATGTTATGCATGTCTTTGGATTTAGGTCAACACATGCTATATCAGCACAATATCACACACCATGGCTTCTCTGCTCTCACCTCTCTCATACCACGTTCAATCAATTCATCTTTCTCTCCCTTCCCAGAATCCTTGGCAACTGTTGATCTATTTACTATCTTTCTAGGTTTTGCTGGAATGTTAAGTTGTTGCAGTCATGCTCATATTTCAATCTTTCAAACTTGATTATTACTTTTAGAAGTGTGAATCAAATTCTTTCGTATAATGTATAAGATACCTTACTGTCATCTGCATATCTTATTTGGTGAGGCCTATGTATCCACATCTTTAAGACAGTCTCTTAGATGTTACCATGAGATGTCTCACCACATGACTGTGCCTTTCTTTGACTTCTTTCATCAGAATTTTGTACTCTCCCCTATACAAATCACATCCATAATTAATAGATTTATACTGAAATATTCCATACTTAAGCAGGATTCTAAATAGGTTTTAGCAGGTTTTCATTTCAAATTGCTTTTATTTGTTGCTGATACAAACATTTGATTTTTATATATTAACCTCGTATCCTGCAATCTTTTTAAAATCACTACTTTTTTCAGGAGTTTGTTGCTGATGACATTTCTTTGGGGTTTCCACATAGACAGTAAAGTAACATATAGAAGTTATTGTGAAAGGTTGATTTAAGTGATAATCTTACCTTTTAAATTAGACTAAAGCCTTTTGTTGCAAACAAAATCCCTCCCAAATATTCATAAGGTAGAAGCCATTGTTTTAGGTCCCTTTCTTCTACTCTACTGTCTCTGCTACATACACTGAAGTGGACTGGTACCTTGGAATATTGTTTTGCCTCTTGAAGAGATATGGAAAATGCAAGTTGTTTAATGAAAAATGGAACATAAAATTCTTTGTTGTTTGCTAACTGACAGAAAGAGAAAAGAGTGCCCACCATACAATAATTTCCACATTTTCTATTTCATATTTGGACAGAGTGAGTTCCAGGACAGACAGGGTGGCACAGAAAAACCCTGTCTCAAAAAAACCAATACAGATAGACAGATAGATGATAGATAGGTAGATAGATAGATAGATAGATAGATAGATAGATAGATAGATAGATTCGTCCCTTTCAGAACATTTCCTTTAGATGTGCCAGTTTTTTGTACATAGCTGTTCAGAGTATATTCTGCATCGTTCTGTGGTATCAGTTGGTGTCTCCTTTATATTTCTGATTTTACTGATTTAGTTCTTCTCCCCTTTTCTCTAAACATTTGTCAATTTTGTTTACATTTTCAAAGTATTAACTCATTTACCTGATTTTTTGGTTTATGATTTCATTTATTTTTGCTCTGAAGTTTGTTTTCTGCTAACTTTATTTTGTAGTTTGGAGTGTTTGAGTTGTATTGTTACTTTGTCTATTTGGAAATTTTCTATTTACTTTTAATGTATTCATTTATTATTATAAACAAGCAGCTAATAAAGATGTATATAATAGACTGTGCTACCCATTGCTCTTCTTTTCGTTGATTTCTAGTTTAATTTCATTGTGCTTTGTGAAGATGCATGATATGATTCATTTTATAAAAGTTTATTGGTATTGGATTTGTAACCTAACATATGATCTGTGTTAGATCCAAGGAAAAATTATTTCCATGACTGTCTGATTAAGAAAGCTTTATTCAGAGGTGCACAAGGGACTGATCAGACAGCTGATTCACCCTGACTTGGGATTTCAGAGAGCAACCCCTTTTGAGGTCCCTTTTATGAGGAAGGGAAGGGTTGATAGAAAACAGCTGTGGAGACAACTGACTGTTAGAAAAGAAGTAATGAAAATAAGTTCAAGAATTTACATCATGTGGAAGGAAGGTCACCAAGGTGTCTGGGAAGACATGTTTTCATAAGGCAAAGGGGCAATCATTTATCACAGATTCAGGAGGTTAGCAAGGCAAAGGGGTGAGTATACATCAAGAGGTCACAAGTTCAGCAAAGATTCAAAAGCATGGTTTATAGTATGCACTATGATTCGGAAACAGAAACTTATTCTTGTAAGATATGGAGACTTAATATAGGACAATATGGCTCCTTAGTAACAATGTGGCTCCTATTTTGGTTTCACACTTTTCATTGATTTCAATGTGCTCTGCAAAGACACTAGATATGATTCCTTTTTAAAAAATTGGTATTTTGTTTGTATCTTAACATATGATTAATTCTAGAGAATGTTCTGTGTCCCAAGGGAGAAGATGTATATTCTGTTGCTGTTGGTTGAAATTTTTTCTAAATACCTGTTAAGTCCTTTTATTCTATAGTATGGATTAACCCTAATTCTTACTTGCTGATATTCTGTTTGAACTATTTTCCTATTGTGAAAATCAAACATTAAAGTCTCCAACTAGCTAGCAGTGAATTTCTACAGTTAGGTCTATCAGTGTCTGATTTATATATTGGTCAGTCTAGTGTTAAGTGCATATTAATTTATAATTAATACATACTCTGATGATTGATTGCTTTATTAGCATATTATAACCCTCATCACTTTATGTTTCCTTGCATTTCTCCACCACTTTCAACCTGTGCTTTTCTTTGCCAGTGAAGTGGGTTTGTATAATTGAGCCTGACTTGTTGGTGGTATCCATTCAGTGAATCTGTGTCTTTTGGTTGGTGACTTACATGTACCATATTCAAAGTTATTATCTATAAATTTAAGCTTCCTTTAGTCATTTTGCTGTCTTCTTTGTCTGTTTTATAAGTTATATCTAGCTATGTAGCCCAAGTTGGCAGCAAATTCATAATCCTCTGGACTCTGATATTTAAGTACTGAGATTATAATTGTGAGCTAGTATACCAAGCCATTTTATTGTTGTCATGTTTTGCATGTCCTTCATTTCCTCCCACAACAATTTATTATCTTGTAGTGTTATACTTGTTCATTTCTTCAAGGCTTTACTCTCTTCCTTTTTGTGTATTTCTTCTGTCTATGAATTTGCACAGTGATATATTTTCAGAACAGTAGCTAGCATCCTTGTTTCCAGTGAAAGACTCTGGTCTGGTGGTAGTGAATTCTGTCAGTTTTTACTTTTCTAGAAAAGACTTATTTATCCTTCATTTACAGATGATAGATTTGATGGATCTACTACTCTTGGTTGGCTTTTTTTTAAAATCAGAGTTTTAATATATCATTCCATTCCCTTCTGGCATATGTGAATTTTGTGGAAAAAATCTGCTGTCAATCTAATGGGGTTTCAGTTGTATGTGACATTTTTTTCTGCACTGCTTTTAGAGTTCTATGTGTCTTGTACTTTCACATTTTCAGTACTAAATTACGCTGGAAAAAGATATTTTTTGAATGGGTTTAGTAAGTATCCTTGAAACTTCTTGAACCTGGTTGTTTGTGTCCAAATTTGAACATGTGGGGACTGTAGCTCTCATGTATTAAGTTTTTCAGTACTTTCTGTATGTTTGTTCTTCCAGAGTTTCTATAATGTAAACAATTGTTCTCTTAATAGTGTCTTATATAGTTTAATATTTCTATATACTTTAATTGTCCTTTTTATTGCCTTCATTTTTCTGTTGTTTTCTGTATGTATTCTGTCTTCAAGGTTTAGAAATTTGTTCTTATGTTTGGTCTCTCTATTTCTTTAAGATTAAGGCTGAAGTTTGTATCTCTAATATTTCTGATGACTTGATATGATTTCTATATCGACTATCCTACTCACGATTTTTTTGCTTTGTTTGTTTTGATTTTTGTTTTTCTCATTTCATTGTTTCACCTATCCACATCCTTTTGTGGTTTCACTGAGATTTTTTAGCTTCCTTATTTTGATTCTTTTTCAAACATTTATGGATTTCCTTCCAATTGTAATCTATTCCTGGAGAATCAATCTGTGCTCTTTGGAGATAACATAGTTCCTTCAATTTTCATGAATCTTAGGTCCCTGCAGTGATTTCTGCACATGTAATGAAACACTTCTCTTATTTTATTGAATATCTTTTGTATGAGAACAATTTTTTCATTTAAATATGATTTAAGCTATCAGTTCATCGATTGTTTGGTTCCAGATGACTTTAAAAAGTTTAGTGTTCATGTGATTTCTTTAGGTATAACCAATGTCAAAGAGTCTAATAGTGTCTTGATGGTCTAGATTGAAGTGACTCGTGAATGTAGTAGTCCATCGTTAAAGATGGTGTGGACTTATAAATGTGTATGTCCTCAGGCCCTACAAAACCAAGTACTTGTGGCACATTGATACGTTATGGCACACAGTTATGCTGATGCAGGGTGTAGAACTGCCTCCAGGTCCCACAAGACAGGTGTTAGGGGAATACCCATCATTCTTGCAC